ATGTGGGTGCTGAGATTCGAACCTGGGTCTTCTGCAAGAACAACCAGTTTTCTTAACCACTGAGCCATCTCTCCAGCCCCAATTTCTGACTCTTGATTTATCAAAAATTACCAACCTACTACCTTAATCAGCAAGAACCAACATCTATCAGAGTGGACTGAGTTTAATACGAAAAAGGAATAATATGTGTAGATCAGACCAAGAATAAATCCAGATCTCCTTTCCATCAATTACTGATACTTGTTACAGAAGATCTACAACACATTTAGGAGACTAGGGAGATGGGAGTGGGTAAGGCTCTTGTCATGCCTGAGGACTGGAGTTCAGATCCCCAGAATCCATTTAAAAACTGAGTAGGCCTAGTGGCCCACCTGCAATCCCAGCACTCAGAAGGCAGAGATAGGGATCCCTGGGGCAAGCTGGCTAGAGAGACTAGCCAAACCACCCAGCTCTGGGTTCAGGTGAGAGACTGCGCCTCAAAATATAAGGTGGAGATCTGGTGGCTAACAGCTGTCCTGTTCATAACTCCAGTTATAGGGGAATTCAATGCCCTTTTCTGACTTGTAGACAATACACTTTACACATAAAATAAAATAAGTTAAATATTTTAAAAAATATAAGGTGAAGAGTGATAAAGACACCAGACATTAACCTCTGGCATCCACATGCATGTGTATGCATACCTATACACACAAGCACCCACATACATGCAAATACACATATACCAACTGAACATTGACCAACTGAGAACAAAAATGCTGCACACCATATACAAAGGCAAAAAAAACCTCCATGAGATAAAACACATTATCAGCTGGGCATAGTGATACATGCCTTTAGTCCCAGCACTCAGGAGGCAGAGGCAGGTGGATCTCTATAAGACTGAGGCCAGCCTGGTCTACATAGGGAGTTCCAGGCCAGCTAGGGCTACAGGGAGATCCTGTCTCAAAAAGACAAAAAAAAATTTGTTTTATTTTCATTTTATGTGTATGAATGTTTTCCATGCATGTATATAAGTGCACCTATGTTGTACAGTGCCCATGGAGGTCAAAAGAGGGTATCAGATCCTCTAGAATTAGAATTACTGATGGTTGTTAGCTGCCATGTGGGTGTTGGGTCCTCTGCAAGAGCAGCCATGCTCTTAACTGCAGGGCCATCCCTCCAGCTCTGATAAAAACACATCTAACTGAGAAGTTGGTCAATGATAGAAGGCTACAAGGTCAATATCTGAGGAACTCCCTTTCTTTCCCCTTGTAACTACCCCTAAAGAGGGATTCTGGGAACACTGACCAACTGAGAACAACAGAAATGCTGCTTTAGTAAATACTGTAAATACCATGTGTTCTAGTCTGTTTCTCCACTGCTGTGACAAAACACTCTGACCAATACCAGCTTAGGGAAGAAAGGGTTTATTTAGCTTACAACTCCCAGGTCACAGTTCATCAGGGAGCCCAAGGTAGGAACTCAGGGCAGGAACCTGGAAGCAGGAGCTGGAGCACAGGCCATGGAGGAACGCTGCTTACTGGCTTGCTTCCCTAGCCCACCTGCCCAGGGGTGGCACCACCCACAGTGGGCTGGGCCCTCCCACATCACTCATCAAGAAGATGCCCCTCAGACATGGCCACAGGCCAGTCCAATAGAGGAAATTCCTCAATTGAGGCTCCCTCAACCCAGGTGTGTCAAGCTGACACTAAAGCTATCCAGCACACCATGCATGTAAATACAAATTTCTAGGTCTTTATGACAATACTTGTTTTATTTTTTTGTTTGCTTTTTAAGACAGGGTCTCATGCAGTCCATCCTGACTTTGAACTCCCAATTCTTTTTACCTCCTGAGTATTGGGATTATAAGCATACATCATCATACCCAGATACAACTATTGTTTTTGTGCCAAAAAAGTCATCATAGGAGATGGAGACATGGTTAAGTGGTTAAGAGCACTGGTTGCTCTTGCAGAGGACCCAGGTTCAGTTCTCAGCACCCACATGGCAGCTCACAACTGCTTGTAACTCCAGTTTCAAGGGGTCTAATGCCCTCTTCTGGCCTCTACAGGCATTGCATGGGTACACTTAAATATGGGCACTTAAAATACATGCACACAAAACTCTCTCTCTCTCTCACACACACACACACACACACACACACACAAACTGAATTTTTTAAATGATGTTAGATAAATACACATTGGTCTTCAAGGTCAGATTGTCTTTAAACAATGCCAGGCTATTTCTTGTGATAGTAATTAAGTTGGAATTTAAGCACCTTTCACATAATATCACACCTGGGTTCAGTGAAGCATTCCAAAGACACTACAGATCTAGGTTAATCATTAAGGTCTTCCAGCTGTCTGTGAAATCTGAATTTATGCTCCAAATTACCCAATTCAGGCTCTACTCTCCACCACTCTATTCAGTTTATATGTAGAATCTGCTAAAGTAGGTGCTCTGTAGTTTGCAACTGACAACACCTACCAGCTGTTAAATTTACACATGGCTCTAATTTAAATTCTTAATTGCTCTCAAAGCACTCAATTTGCAGCTCATAAACCCCTCCCAGATGCCCCCCAACCTCTTTGCCCGAGATAGAATCTAAAGTTAAGTGAACCATAGTGTCCCTTGGTAGAAAATGAAATGTCTGAATAATCTTATATTCTGTTAACCATTATAATTTCTTAAGAATGACCAGTGTCTTAAAGGGGCAGGCCATGTTTTAACAGTGAGGATTTTCTTTGAATTTGCTTTGGGAGGAGATCAAAACTTAGGTTAGCAATTATCAGTTCTCCTATTAATCCCCCAACACACTTGCTCTTTGAAACTGGAGCACCAGAATGGGGCTTGCCTTGTATTTACGGTGTCCAGGATGAGTAGGGGGAATAAATGGCTATATTATTACAAACTACCTCAGTGCCCTCGGGGTAGCAATCTATGATGAGCAGAAGTTCTAACCCTATAAGCAGTGGTGAGAGGTACAACCCTTAGCTGCAGCCACCTGCAGTACCAACCTGAGAACCTCTTTCCAGAGACTGTTCAGCTGAAGCCAGGATTATTTTTTTGCTTGTTTGTTTGTTTTGAGACAGGGTCTTGTGTAGCCTAGAATGGCCTCAAATTCTCTATATAGCTGAGAATAACCTTGAACTTGTAACTCTCCTGCCTCTACCTCTGAAGTGTTGGGCTTATAGATATATATCACTTTGAAGGGTTTATCAGGATTCTTTTTTTTTCTTACAAAATGTATTCAATTTATTTATTTGTGTGTGTGTACACATGTGTGTACCCCAGTGTCTCCCATGCCATGACTGTGGAGGTCAAAAGACAGCTTGTGGGAACCGATCTGTTCTGTGGATCCTGGGAATTGAACTCAGGTCATCAGGCTTTGCAGCAAGTACCTTTACCCACTGAGCCAACTTACCAGGCCCAGGATTTACACTTAAGAATTTCAAGCCATGTGTGATAGCCCATGCCTGGCGGTGGCCCATGACTGTAATCCCTGCACTTGCAAGATGGAGGCAGGAGGATTGCTGAGAGTCTGGGGCCAGCCTGGGCTACATAATGAGTTTGAGGCCAGCCTAGATCCTGTCTCAGAAAACACATCCCCCTCCATCAAAAAAGAAAGAGAGGGAGGGAGGGAGGGAGA